TTTTGCCGTGGGCCCTAAAGTAGTTCCTTTTTGGGGTTCATATATAGAATCCTATAAAGGAACCCCCAAAAGGAACTACTATGGAGCCTATGGGTTGCTTTATAGGATTTGGGTTTTTTGTTTACTGTTTGCGTGGGCTTAGGGTTGTCTTGTTTTTGCTGGGGGGGAAGGGCGGGGGATGAAACAGCGGTGCTGCAGGGGTTCGACCCGATAGGCCTTATCCCCAAGATTCTGTAGGTTTGGGATTTGGGGGGGGGGGGGGGGNNGGGGGTTAAACTTCATAGCCTCTAGAGAGAAAAGGCCATGACCACCACCAATGCCGAGGAACCCAATTCTTCAAACCTGCATGTGCCCTCTCCGAGGCTAGAAGCACTAAGCATCACAGCCGATAGAAGGGAGTGTCAGAAAAGAAGGGGACACCAGCTAGATCATCAGAATTCTTACTGTAAGGACCCCTAAATCAGGGACCCCAAAGTATCTGACACCCCACATTGACTTTAAGTAAAGCACAAGCGTGACAATTCCTATTCGGGATTGTAGCGGTCTTTGCGACAACCGAGACTCGGAAAACTTCGACGTTTCGGGTTGAACAGGAGACCGTCAAGAACAAAGTCCGTAAGCTCAAACCCTCTGTTGATGATAGAAGCCCTGCATTACCTTAAGGACCCTAAGCTACTGGAATTATGGAACAATGACGGTACATTCCTTATTATGGGGTAATGCGGGATTTACATCACCATGCGTAATTGGAGGGTCGGCGGACTTAGTAAGTAGGTAATAAGTAGACTTACAAGTAACCTAAAAGGGACTCTAGTTGGGGTTATGATACCTACAAGCCTATCAAATAACTACTTACTAAGTCCCCCGACCCTCCAAAATAGCCCTATAGCCTGTCAACCAGGGAGCCCATCGTCAGGTCTACCAGGGTGTCCCAGGACCTTTGCCTCCAGATGTAGCTCCTGCACAGTTTAGGGTTTAGGGTTTCTCAAGGCGTAACGTGAAATACCTATAGCCTCCCTTGAAGTTCCTTCTTGGGGTTACCTTTGAGGATCCTTAATACAGAGTTGGTCAAGCCAAAAAAAGGAACTACAATGGAGACTATAGGTACAGTAGCCCAAACCACCACATGGGTAGTTCTCTAAATTAGGGTTCAAACCCTAAACCCTAAACCCTAAACCCTAAACCCTAAACCCTAAAATCCTTTTAGGGTTTCTTGTATAAGGGTGCCGCATATATTTTGGGGACCTAAAGGGGCCCCAATTCAGAGAACTACCCACATGGGTGGTTGTCAAAATTATGGTCCCTTTTTGGGTTCCCTAAATAATAGGTGCCGTATTATAATAAGGACCCAAAAAGGGACCCTAATTTTGACAACCACCCACATGAACGTAAACATCTCGGCATATGGCTCTGCAATCCTCGCTGACGGCGGTCACTAAATCCCTATATGGGAGTTTCCGAAAATAAGGGGTACCATATTTTGGGGTCCTTATAATAGGGATCCTATTATTTAGGGTACTATATTAGGGTCCCCTATTTTCGGAAACCCCCATATATTGGTAGTTCTCTTAATTTTCTCGGTCCTTTTTCAGGGTTTCGGCCCCGTAAATAGTACGGCACCCCCTTATAAAAAGACTGTAACCTTATTTGGAGACCCACCCATATCCACGACACGGGGGCTTGTGATTACGTGGTGTGGACGGCGTCTGGCTTCAGCTCCCTTAACCATAAACCACTAGCCCCTGAACCCCTAAACCCCTAAACCTTAAACCCTAAACCCCTAAGCCCTAAACCCTAAACCCCAATCTCCTAAACCCCTAAGCCCTAAACCCTCTGCTGAGTGTTGGGGCGTGGGCTTTAGGGTTTGTCGCGGTGCTCGAAAGCCGGAAACACTCTATCATGAACCCAACTAAAATGACCATGGGCTTTGTTGATTAAGGTTATACATTATGCAGCTATACTTATAACATATATTCACAACCCCAGCTAAGGTACTTATAACCTTACTTACTACGCCCGATGATCCTGCAGGTAATGTAGCGGCCTTAATAAAAAAGGATCTTGGTCTCCTTAAAACGATATATACTTAGGATAGGGTTTTGGGCCCCAAAACACTATAATCATAATACGGTCCTGGGCTCCTTGATACTATAACTACGAATAACAGTGGAAAACAGGCTTCTTCAGTAACCCTTATACAAACCCTGAACAACTTGTGGGAAGGCTCGGGCTTGAGGGCTTTCGCTGAGGTTTATGTTGCTAGCTGTCTGTTTTAAAGGCTTAGGGGCTTTAGGGTATAGGGTTTAGGGGTTTAGTCTGTATGTAAACAGAAACACAAACAGAAAGAGAAAGTGAGCGAGAGTTGAAGAGAGATGCTCCGCGTGCAGATTCTAAAACAGATGTTTGACCAGCCTCAGCTTTTTCGACGTGTCTGTCTCCGCTCGATCTTTCTGTCCTTCTATATATCGATATATGTGTATATGCATGCATACAGATCTGCATTTATACCTTAGTTTACTTTCAAGCGTTGGTTGCCACTCAACTAACTAGTTTACTGGTCATATCGATTTGGGCTACATACTATCCCAAGTATCCTGGAAGTAAAAAGGGCAACCATTATGATGTCGTATAGTTGTATGAGGAACCTAAGACCACAACATGGGAAAAAAGGGCCCAACTCGAGACCAAACAAACTTAAACCCTAAACCTTAAACCCTAAACCCAAAACCCTAAACCCCTTTTTCAGAGCTGTCACCCCTTTTTCGGTTTATACGACCCGGAGGCGATAGTTCCGCGGCGGTGCCCATATACTGCCGCAAAATCAGAGCCCCGTTCTGCTATGTTTAAGGTTTAAGGGCTTTAAGGATTTAGGGTTTAGGGTATACACATATATATATATATATATATACATACGTACAGATATAAGAATAACAGTGCTGCATCCTGTGTAACATCGTTTCTCGCCTCTCTTTCTCTCTCTGCATATATGTGACATATGTGTATTGAGAGGCACGAATGTGCGTATATACATGTGAGTCTTGTATGTGGGTGGGCATTCTTCCAGGTCCTAAAAAGCATGCACTTGCGCGTGTAATCGCGTGCCCTAAGCCCTAAACCCTAAACCCTGAACCCTGAACCCTGAACCCTAAACCCTAAACCCTAAACCCTAAACCCCTAAACCCCTAAACCCTAAACCCTGAACCCTTCAATCCAAACGCTTCTCTGGCCTGAAGTTCTCGGCCAAGCCGAAGTCCCGCAGCATTTCGACGCCGCCGAAGCACGACCAAAAGAGCGCCTTAGGAAAGGTTTAGGGTTTAGGGTTTAGGGTTTAGGAAGGGGTTGTAAGGCCTCATCTGGGGTTTATTAGGGTTGTGTAAGTTAAGGGTTCTACCAGTGGAAGGGGTTGTAAGGCCTCATCTGGGGTTTATTAGGGTTGTGTAAGTTAAGGGTTCTACCGGCGGAAGGGGTTGTAAGGCCTCATCTGGGGTTTATTAGGGTTGTGTAAAGGTTCTACCAGTATGAAGGATTTGTTTTCTGGATTTTGAAGGATTCTGCAAGGGCTTTGCAGAAGTTCTTGGCTAGTCTCGTCAGGCTCCAACTACCTTAACCCAAAACAACCTACCTTGTCAGGGACTTATATACAGAAATCATAGTGAGGATCCCTAAAAGGTAGGTTCTTTAGGGTCAAGGTGAGGAATGTCATAAGGGTGTTTAAGAGCTTCAGAAGGATTATTGAAAGCTTGTGTCAGCACCAGGGAGTTTCTGTAAGGGTTATTTTAGGCATTATGGCTTAAAAACCATACTATACCTACAGAGCATGTGTGTGTATATTTACATTCGTGTATGTTACTATATATACATATATAGATATAATATTAATATCATTATTACATATTCATGTGTATATACATATACTTATCTTATTATTTATGAATCTATTTATGTACCTATATTTAGTATTTATACTTACACATATTATGAGCTCTTTAGGCCTACGTGGACCCATAATCAAGGGAACGGAGGTTGCCAGGCCTTCAGGTGTCCTGGATTTCTTTGGTTTTGTTCTTCTCTCTTTGTTGCTTAATTGGAGTTTAGGGTTAGGGCCATCGGGTTGCTTGTAAGGCTGCAGTGTTTGAGGCGGTTAGGCCCCACCGCCACCCGCTGTGCAGCCCTATGTCGGCCCTGTACAACTCCGCACCAACACCCTACTCTATCTATTATGGCCGGCCGTTTCCGTAATTGACTTCAGGATCTTATTTTCGAAGGGCTGGCTAAGCGTACAAGAAGCTCAGGGTTTCAAAAGGGATTGGTTTTAGGCTTTCGGGGTTTAGGGGTTTAGGTATTCAGACGTTTAGGTTTTCAGAGCCCTTCCTGAAAGTTCGAAAAGTACGCAATAGTTTTGTGATGGAATTTAGGGTAGTAATAACTGCACTATGGGAGTACTTGACAATGAGCTTTCCGGACAATAATGTTAGTCGAGTCCAACTAGTGGTAGCCCCAAACGCTACCAACAAATGCAACGTAAACCCTAAAACCTAAACATCGCAACAGCCTGAACTTATAAGATGCCATTATTCTCAACATGTTCTTTCTCGGCAACTGCGAAATGTTCAGTCTGAGGATGTCGCGTGTCAACTCATCCAAGGGTCTAATAATAGGGTTTAGGGTTTAGGGTTTAGGGCTTAGGGTTTAGGTAATGAGTACAAGGTTTCGGGGATAAATTACTAGCAATAATAAAACGACTATAAAATTGAATATGAGTACCAGTTATTCAAGCCCTAATATGGACACTGCATGCAAAGAACGTAGCTTGAAGCCTGGTGCGGTGTTTGCTGCAATCGACTATCCGATTATCCAAAGGTTCTAGTTGTTCTTGCGGCACACGCAGCAAACCCAAACCCTCTGTTGCAAGAGTAGCGTATTGGCAATATATAGGGCCTAGCAAACCTTACCAAATTTGTTGACTAAGCCCTGCATAAGAGAAAAAGGGCTCTGGATAAGGTAGCATGCATCCTTGAGCCCAGGTTCGCTATGAGGAATCCTTCAAAGGCATTCAAGGCACCTTTCTACTTAAGGGTTTCTTCAAGGTTCTTTGAACGATTCTGTAAGCACTTAAGAGGGTCGTCATTGAAGGTTCTGTGAGCATTGCTTGTTTTGTCGACCGGGGATTCAAGGGTCAGGATCTGGGTAGTTTTCTAAATTAGGGTCCCTTTTTGGGTCCCCAAAATGGTACGGCAAGCTTTCAAAAAGGACCCTAAACCGGACCCCAAATCTTAATCGGCTCCAAAGCTACGGGTCCAGCATTTATGGCCTAGCGTGTAGGACGTAGGATGCCGGGCTTACAATGCTTCAAACTTCAGGGGCAGTCGGCAAGGAGGTTACCAAGCTATAGAGTAGGTTTGAGTTTTCCAGGAAACCTGACAGTTGATGCCTAAAACCATACATGGATCTCCACGCAAGGCGACATTGTCTCCACCAGCGCTGCTAGTGCGACAGGGACTGACCTGACCACTTGCGGTGCCAAAAAATCGCAGAAAGCAGGCACCTAACTGCGCTGGCGCGCGTTGCAGCTCCAGCGCAGCCGTCCAGGAACGCTGCTCGCTGGCCGTAGTAACCCGCGGAACGTACACTGCGCGACCTGCAGAATCTGTACCGGCCGGAGCCCACTTTTCCAGCATCTCGTAGAACCCGGTCCATTTGAGCCGAACTTTGCTCGGGTTGCATTCGGTCCAAGGACCGGACCTGCGTCGAAGAGCAGGATCTTGGGGTGGCTCTCATTGAGGAACTCCACTCCAACGTTGGTGGAGCCCGTGTCTTTCGACACAACTCCAGCCACCGACAGGCTAAGGTACACGATGGCAAGGTAGCAGAAGAACTGGATAGCAGACGAGCTATCCTTGCCCACTGTCCCAAGCCAATCGGTGGCAAGCTCCACCTTGGCGTGGACCAGGGAACAAGTACCCTCCTGCAAGCAGTCGCAAGTGGGGTTGTGACACTTAAAGGTAGATGAACTTAACGACTTTCTGACCCGGGATTGCCAAGCACTCCCTGAACCCGCTGCGCCCTTAATCTGTCAACCCTGAACCCTATCTAAACGCCCAAAGTAAGTAACACAAAGTACGCAACACCTGTAAAGGGCTATGATTCCGCATGCTTTTGGGTTCCAGGTAAGCCCTAAAACCCTGAAGCCCTAAACCCTAAAACCATCTAAAACCCTAGAGCCTAAAACCGTCTATAACCCTAAATCCCTAAACCCTAAAACCCTAAACCCTAAAAATTAAAAATCCTTGACCCCTAAACATTAAAAACCCTAAACCCTAAAATCCTAGACCGCTAAACCCTAAAACCCTAAACCCTGAAACCCTAAACTCTTTACCCCTAGACCCCTACACCCTAAAACCCTAAACTCTAAAACCCTAGACCCCTAAACCCTAAAACCTAAAGCCCTGCACTCTGAACCCTAAAACCCTAAACTCTAAAACCCTACACTCTAAACCCTAAAACCCTAAACCCTAAAACCCTAGACCCCTAAACCCTAAAACCCAAAACTCTAAAACCCAAAACTCTAACACCCTAAACTCTAAAACCCTACACTCTTCCAGCAACTAAGAAGCTGCCACGCGCCATTGGAAAGCTTGCACTTGGGCGTAGTAGGTCGCCTGGAGGCCGGGTTTTAACTTAGGGGCTGAGTAGCCTAGCCCAAAAAAAGTTAACCTTTTGAATTATAGTAGGATTATAAGAGCCTCAAAAGGTTAAAGGTTACCTACTCAGCCACTAAGTTAAGGTTCTTTTGAGCACCTACGGTTTAGGGTTTGGGGTATAGGGGGGTTTAGGGTTTAGGGGGTTTAGGGCTTAGGGGGTTTAGAGTCTAGGGCTTAGTGAGTTTAGGGTTTCGGGGGGCCTGAGGGGCTTAAGTAAGGTTTAAGATCCCGGGTCGAGCTTGTCGAAGGGCTCCGCAGGTGGGATGAAGGTTACGTAGGGGCCTCAATACTTAGACTAGGGTTTTGGGGTATATTATACTATAGAAGTATAATTATAAGGAACCCCAAAAATAGTAGTAGGTAATTATTTAAGTCCCTACATTAGATGGGATGATCTCCAAGTAAGAGCCCTTATACAGGGGATCCTTCAACCTAACTAGCTTCATCCCACCTTTTGAGACCCCTGAAGCTTGAGGGAGTGGACATGGCGTGGAAACTTCAGTGTTAATGCCTGAAAACGCAAGAACCACTAATTCCGCAACGTGCAAGGTGCCACCGATCTCTTTGTCCTTAAACCGAACTTGTATGGATTGCAGAATACCCGATCACACAGAAACGCCTGTCTGTGCATCGACAGGCAAAACCGCAATTTCCGAGACCACTGGTCGAAATACCGAAGATGAGAACGCGTGTACAGCACTCGCTTATTTCTGTTACCTTCTCTTGAAACAAACTGGTCCCCACAACCGCTGTTGTGCACATCATTGGAAAGGACTGAGACACCAAACAAGACAAGCTTCCCCAAAGGTAGGTATGATAAGGTCGAGTTGTACTGCAGTAGCACTTCCACAGGCTGAAAACCCTAAACCCTAGCTAAACTGCAAACCCTAAGCCTAAACCCAATCCTTAAATCACAAACGGTCTCAGAGGTAGAGCCCAACGAGAACTGCTTCTAAGCGACCACTACCCACAGAAGGTACATGATCGTGAAGCAGACGAACCTGAGGACAAAGGCAGCTGCCGGGCTAACAGTTGCAGAAAAGCCTCAAAACCTAACCCTATAGGGTTTAGGGTTTTGAAAGTTGAGAAGAACCAAGAACAAGGACAAAAGGTTCAGTGCAGTCCCAGTTGTAGAATGATATTTCCGGGAGTGTGCGTATATACCCATGTTATCAGGCATCTGGAAACCTTAGGGCTTAGAGGCTTGGAGGTGTGGAGCTTCTTTGAGATCCCAATTGAGGCAAATCCATTCACTTTGTTTGGTCCTCTCATGACTGAAAGCATATCAATTGGTTATTAGTTCTTAGCCTTTCTTAGCCCAAACCAAACTGTGCTACAACTCACCTGTAACCACGTACAACATGGAACAGAACTCTTCAGATTCAGATGATGTCCACAGACCTTTTAGGATAAGCATGTAACCAGGAAGATTCTATGTACCCCGTCGTGTGCACTTGCGGAAGGTAAAGAATGAAACTTTCACCGAAGCTCTCTGATCTAGGCTAGGCTGGGGCCCGAAACCAAGTTAACCCCACGCCCTCAACTTTAAACCCTAAACCCTGAACCCCATCCACAACTCTCAACCACCGGTATTACGAACCCGGACCTTCAATCACATCACCCGTAAGATTTTTGGGCATGGGACAGCATCCTGCATCAAGTTAGACCACAGCAAAACCGGCATGATACTGTGATTTGGACTGGCCTCACAGTGAACAGCGCAAGACTCATTGGATCAAGAGTATATAAAGCCTCTGGGCTGTCTCAACCCTTGCTGGCTGTCTCTCCGGCAGCGCCTGTTTTGTGCGAACAGAAGACACGGCAATGCCCGGTTTAAGCATCTACATGTGGTTGAATGTAAGCCTTCGGAAACTCAAAACCACTGGATTTAGGGCTTGGGGCTGATGCAAAAGCCCGTGACCTACAGGATCCGAAATTCAAACCCTAAATCCTAAACCCGAATCCCTAATCGCTATAAACCCTAAACCCTAAAGCCTAATCGCTATAAACCCCTAGACTCTAGACCCTATAAACCCTAAAACCTAAACCCTAAACCCCTAAACCCTAAACCCCTAAAACCCCTAAAACTCATAAACTCCAAACTCGAAGACCCAGGAGCCGAATGAAAAACTGTCTGGGTGCTTCAAGGAACTGAACTTTGAGCTACCAGAATAGGGGTCTATAGGGGTTTAGGGTTAGGGTTTAGGGGTTTAGGGGTTTAGGGGTTTAGGCTTTAGGGGTTTAGGGTTTAGGTTTTACGGGTTTAGGGTTTAGGTTTAGGGTCACATCTGCAGCAAACAATATGGTTTCCTTGTGATGGTGACCAAACATAAGTTATCCCCAACACGAACCCAGAACCCAGGTACAGGAGTGAGTATAGAATAACGGCGACAACTCTGGCTTTCCGAGTGGAATAAAATCTACAACACTGCTTTGAACCTTCTAACCCTTTGCAAGCAACCCTCAAGTGGTAAACACTGATCCCTAGACATTAACCGCAATGTCCGTCTAAAAAACATTCTTTCTTAACCACTGTGGAACCGATGGAGAAACTCAAATTATGAAACACTTGCAGATCAGACCCCTCGTTCGACAAAGCCGCAAGCGCTGAAACCCTCAATACCCTTTTCGCTGCACCGTTCGCCCGCACAAACCTAAACCCTAAAAACCCTAAAAACCCTAAAAGCCCTAAACCCGATGTACCACTCTCTCATCGAACTAAGGCAGTCCCGTGGCAGCTCGTGAGGGCCAGGAGGTCCCGGGGAATGCCGGAATGTGGGGCTGAGCCTCAGGGATAGGGTTTAGGGTTAAGGGGTTTAGGGGTTTAGGGTTGAGGGTTGTGGGTTGAGGGTTTTGGGTTTAGGGGTTTAGGGTTTACGGTTTAGGCCGGGCATGGAGGAGGAGCGGTGGGGGTGGGGCAAGGACGACAAATACATCTGCTACTCCTGCTACCACAGTGGGATTGACATTTCCGCTCAAGAGAATGATACACACAGCCGGGTTGCGTCGTCTATACTCTCAACATGAACGGCTAGACCCTAAAGACCCGAAAGCACTACCCCGAAACCCTCAGCCTAATCCCCAAACCCCTCAAGCTCCCAAAGCCCGAACCCTCCAAGCCAAGATGCTGCAACAGCCTCCCCTAAACCCTAAACCCTCGGCTTATGCGGTATTCCTATCTATACACTAACTTATCAGGTTCCTGACTCTCGAATGGGCAGATTGTTTCATGAGGCTTTATGAAGGGCGTTCTGAGGGTTTGGTACAGGTTTCATAAGAGTTGACAAGGTTTCGCAAAGGATGATGTAAGGCGAAAGGGTGTGGGTCTCGACAAGTAGACTTGGGTGCTCGGAAGTAGTTTGCCGTCATCATTCATTTGGGTCTCGACAAGTAGACTTGGGTGCTCGGAAGTAGTTTGCCGTCATCATTCATTAGATGGCCCATCCAAAGGCCACGCCCTAAACTCACAGCCTAACTGTACCCTTCGCAACTCTGTTCCTTGGACTCTACGTTCATATCTAAACACCAAGCCCCCAAAACCGATCCGAAAGCCAAACCCCTGGAGCCCTGAAGCCTAACTCCAGCTGCCCGAAGCCCAGCATTCCGCAACCGCCGGGCACTTTGTGCAGGGCGGTATTGGATAGCTTGAGGCTTAAAAGTTTTTGTAAGCCTTTAGAATCAGAACGGGTCTACCCTAAACCCTAAACCCAGTTTAGGGGTTTGGATGTGCACCAGCACCGGCCTCACGAAAAGGCTTGGCAGACTGCCGAGCAAGACGCCTGTGGCTTTGAGGGGATATAACGGCTTAGAGCTTTACGCCCGAGAACGGTACCAATAAATAGATAGATAAACAAATATACATTTATGTCATATATATGTAATATAACTGTAGGTATACGTAAATATATATATATATATATATGCATGCATAACAAATGAATAGGTACATAGATACATAAATGGGGTTTAGGCCTAGGGCTTTAAGCTAAGGCCTTGTGTCTTGGTTGGGATTTGCAGTGAAGGCCATTTTCATGGAACGCTGGGGGCAAAGTAACCTAAACCCTAAACCCTAAACCCTAAACCCTAAACCCTAAACCCTAAACCCACAACAATCCATGCTCCAGGATTCCAGGGTTGGTGAGGCTCTCATCGAAATTCATAAATTTGGCATTTAGGTAGCTCTCTAAATTAGGGCCCCGTTTTGAAGCCCCCGAAATAGTACGGCACCCCTTTAAAAAGGAGCCTCCAAACGGGACCCTACTTTAGAGAACTACCCATACAAAAACCCCTAGAGTACCCTTATACAAACCCCTATAGAAACCCTTAAAGGCGCCCTTTAAAAAGGAGCCTAAACGGGACCCGAATTTAGAGAACTATCCAGTTGGAGTCAAGGCTTCCAGGGTTCAGGGGATAGGGGACTCAAGGTTGTAAATCACCTGAGGGCTTAGGGCTTATATGGTTTAGGGTTTAGGGTTTATAGGGTGTAGGGGTCTTAGTAATTTGAATATGCTTTTGGGGTGTATAATTTACTATAAATCTACGAAGGAACCCCCAAAATAGTAAAGGTGAATATTAAGGTCCCTATATTATACAGACGTTCTATTGAGCTCTGGGCTTGCAGAGATATCTAAACTTTGATGGGTGAGGCTTTAGGTGCGGGCTGTGGTGTGCTGGATGGAGTGCGATAATACAGGGACCTTCATACTTAGAATAGGGTTTAGGGTTTAGGGTTTATGGGGGGTATAATGGACTATTTTTTTAATAAGGAGCCCCCAAAACACTATTCTAATTAGTAGGGCCCCTACATCACACCAGAAGAAGCATGCAGGTGCTATGGTTGATGGACAAAATCCTGCATGACCCTATATACCTAAACTTCGGGATTTATGGTACTATACTATATTTGGGTCATGCAGAATTTTGTCCATCAACAGTATGGCTTTGTTTAGCAGAGTTTCGTAGGGGTCGGGCTTCGGCTCAATGCTGTGTATCCATTCTCGGGCTTAGGGTTTAGGGTTTAGGAGTGTAGGGTTTAGGGTTTAGGGGTTTAGGGTTAGGGGTTTAGGGGTTCAGGGGTTTAGGTGTTTAGGGGTTTAGGGGTTTAGGGTTTAGTGGCCCTTTCTGCAGTCTTGTCATTCTGGCTGGTGTTCAGCTCTGCAGGACACGGACCAAGCCGCTCAAGAACCGAACAAAGATAATCATAACCTTCCCAAATACTATGCTTGTGTTACCGGCCCACATGGCTAGTATTCCATCGTTTTGGTTGTATAGTGTAATATAGTATTTTACCCAATGCTGAAGTACGTTGGTTTGGAGTAGTAGCAATGCTATAATACAATATATGTGCCCAAACGAACATAGTCTGATCCTAATGTCCAAACCCTAAACCCGAACCATAGGAGGGGGTTCTCTAAAGGTGTACTACCATAAGGGCTCCTATGAGGAGTCTACCATAAGGACTTCTTTACAGGCTTACCATAAGGGCTACGATGAGGAGTCTACTATAAGGGGTTCTTTAAAGGCTTACGTTATACCATAAGGGCTACTATGAGGATTCTAGCATAAGGGCAGTAAAAACTAGGAATAAAGGCTTGGGGGAAAAACCTACGGTGATGACAAGGCATCAAAGCCTTACGGGCATGCCTCCAGTGACACCCAGGAGCTCGTTCAAGGTGCAGCCCAGCGTGACCTGGACACTTCGCTTGAGATGTGGATCTATGGTTGAGGAATTCGGACAAGATCCAGTGCTTGGAGCCCAAAGGCCGATCTAACAGAGCCTCAGCGTAACTTCAATGCTGCCCAACTCCAAATCTTAACATTCATTGTCTCACTTGCCCAGTAATCCTAAACCCTAAACCCTAAACCCCTAAAAGAACCAAAGGTTGACCTTTGGATGTATGTGGGGTGATGGTAAAACGAAGCGGTTGAAGGCTACGTACCCATAGGCCTTAAAGTAGTTCCTTTTTGGGGTTCATAAATAGAATCCTATAAGGTAGTCCCAAAAAGGAACTACTATGGGGCCTATGGATAAAGGCTACGGCTACTTCCCCGACTTCTATCATTGTATAATGCCGCCCGACTCCCTTGAATTCCAAACCCCAGTCCGCGACTCTGCAGCCCATACCTAAGAAGTGGATTAAACCCTAAACCCCTAAGCATTCACAATACACTAATAACAGATACGACTTCAAATAGCTCTGATCCCACACTCAAGTGGCTGTTTCGGGTACTTGGCACCCTGTTGGGTAAGCCCTGACGCCTTACGTCTCAAAGCTTAAACCTTTAACACCCCCTTGGCCTAACATCTGCAACGAAAGCGCAAAAACCACACTCACCCAATGTCGCAAGCCGGGCCAGACAAAT